TATTATTTTGGAAATCTCTGAGAAAGGCCATTTACTTTCCCATATATCTGTTATAAATCACACTGTCATTGTTTATATTTGAATGAAGCCCACTTGATTTTTGTGAAACGAGCAGGTACCCGATGGCAAGAATAAGTTGGAGAGTATTACGTTGCAGTAAGACCTGTTTCCCCATTCCCAGAATCATCTTAAGTTTCCTAAATTGAAAAACAAAAAAACCAAATACTTGTAAAATTAATGTCCACTTTATGCCTCCCTCCTGACAGTAAATTACTTACAGGGGATAAAACACACACACACACACACACACACACACACACACACACTCTCTCTCTCTCTCTCTCTCTCACTCACTCTCTCTCTCTCTCAGACACACACACTTGAAGGGAAAAAATTCCAATTAAAAAAAGTATAGCAGAATCTAACAATCATTAGCAACCATAAAATTACCAAGATTATTACTGTTAGCTTTTATTAAGCAGCTATGTATACTACCTGCATTTCTTCTTTTCCTGTTCTGGTCCCTCTGTACCACTGTGGCTGCCTTGTTAGGTGGCTTACATGCTTGGGTCCATTTTTTTTTTTCTAATTATGCTTAACTTTATGGGGACAAAGACTGGTGAAATTTCTCCAAAAACAGACTTCTTATTCTTAGTACTTTATAGGCTGATATTGAAGCCAAACTTAGGACATCTTACCAAAATGCATGTGATAAAAATTATGTTGTCAAATAAAAATCATTGCCTTCACAATATATATAGCATTCTGCATAGTATTCACGGTAAGTATTTATTAAAACAAAGATACATGAATGAACTCCCAAGAGGGCACCACAAAATACCCAAATCCAATCCTGTCATGATCTAGTTGAAAGACATGATCTTTTAAAGTAATGAATGTACCTTGAAGAAATGTTTTAGGTCAAATAACATGAAGGAAAACTTCTATTTTAAGTGCTATAATTAAGATCCCAGGTATAAAGTAATATAAACCAAGTACCTGAAGTTATAACCAATAAAAAACACACAGGTAACTCTTAATTGTCTTTAGAAAATAGACATTCAACCAAGCAGAAAAGATATCATAAAATCATTAAATAGCATTTATGAAACTAAAAAAAAAAAAAGTCAGTAGCCTACAGACTTTGGGAGAACTTGTGTTCCTAGAGTACGAATACATATTGTTTAATCAGTACACACTTATTAGGGTTTTTCAGGTCTATCATTAGTTAGAAATGGCCATCACAGCTAAAGGCTACAAAACCTAATAGATGAGAAAATTACTGACAAGATTATTAATGGTTGAGAACAGTTGTATATAGCAAACAAAATATCTCTGAAAAAAATAGACCTCAAAGGATGTAAGAAGCCAAAAGAGATCATAGAACTATAGAATACTAAATTAGAAAGAACACAAAAGCTCAACCATGCTTCTGAAATATTTGCAGTCTTGGAAGAAACAAACCATGAATGAGAACAGTTACAATCACAACAAATTCCATACTTTTACAAACAATACTTTCAGGAAAATAGAGTTGTGGGGGAAAATAAAGAACAAAATACAAAATTTCTACATAGAGAAATAAGTGCTACGATCCCCACTTAGTCAACAAATATTTGCTGAATGCATTTGTGTGCTACACGCTGGGTATAATAACAACTAGGACAAAAATGGCTCCTTCAGGGAACCCCTATTCTAGTAGTTGCAAGATCTAGTTCAACATGTTTCTCAAAATAGGGTGAATTGAAATCATCCAGATCCAAGTTCAAAATTCAGATGCTCCATCCTCAGGAATTCTGACTCAGTAAGTCTTGGGTGGAACCCAAGAACGTACTTTTCAAAAGCTTTAGTGGAAAGAGAAATTTTAGCTCTATTAATTAGCTAAACAGATTTTAGCACCCTTATTTTAGAGATGAAATAGACAAGTCTGTTTAAAGGGTTTATTCTAAAGAATGAAATATTTTTCAAAGTGTTTCATGCACACTACCTGACACAGGTGTATTCAAAACGCAACTATGAAACAACTATATGAGTCTGAAAATCTAGATTCATATTTAACTCAGATGCTTACTTAATATATAGCACCGGACAAGTCATTTAACATCTGTGAGCATTAGTTTCTATCTCTAATTTGTGGGTAATATTTGTACTCTTTACCAGAGACACTGGAAGAAAAAACTTGCATATTTTTATTAGGCCACAAAAAATACCACATAAAGTTAAGAGAGACTACCGGCACTGTTAGTTATAGCAAAGTATACAAAACTGTAATCCTAAAATAAAGGGAAAAGACTTATGAGGAAAAAAATTAAGCAAAAAAACACTTTTTACCATATTTATCCAACAAAACGTCCTTATTCAAGAGTTTAAGTACCAACTGTGTGCCACCTAGCAAGTAACTCCCAAATGTCAACCAGGAATATAGTCTCCATAAACACATTATTAATATCACCAATCTTAACACTGCTTTGAGAGTTGCACAAAGACAAGGTGGACATAGTCTCAGAAGTAAACATTGGCCAGAAAGACTAGATCACCTAATCCAACCACCTCTTTAGTTCTTACAACTCTTTCTGTAACAATCCCAACAAATAATCCTCTAATTCCACTGGTTAGAAACCTACCAATTGTAGAACAATCTGAGGAGCTTTGATAAGTATAGATTCTGAAATTCTGATTCACTAAGTCCAGGGGAGAGTTTCAGGACCTGTTGGGGCAATATGCCTTCCAAGTGATTGTGAAGTGCAGCCAGAATCTAGCCTCCAGGGATGCTGCCTTCACCAGCCAATTCTGCATTTGGACAGTGCAAGTAATCTGATGTTGGATTGGAATCTTCCCACTTTAGTTTCCATCGTAGTCCCAGTTTACTGTGGGTTCCAAATACAACACAACTTAATCCATCTCCAGATTAAACATCTCCTGTTCCTTCAAATAGCCTACATATATGTTCCACACCAGATAACCCTAAGTTTGTCCACATTTTAATATATGGCACCCAGAAGAGAATACAATCCTCATGTAAAATACAATGGGGACACTCTTTCATTAAAGTTACAATCTTCCCATCAACACAGCGTAAGCGTGCGTTTTGTGAAAGTGTGGCCATGTCACGTTAGGTGTTTTATGGGGTTTTTTGTTTTTGTTTTTTTTAAGAGAGAAAAAGTGAGCAAGCCTGAGCAGGGGTTAGGGGATGGAGAGAGGAAGACGGAGAAAATCTTAAGCAGGCTCCATGCCCAGTGTGGAGTCTGATGCAGAGCTCGATCTCACAACCCTGGGATCATGACCTAAGCCAAAAATCCGACATTTAACCAAATGAGCTGCCCAGGTGCCCCACATTAAGTTATTTAATAAGCATATTAAAAAACAGTTTGGAATATATTTTGGAATAATTTTATATTTATAAATATATTTATATTTATACAAGCGGCAGATATATTACTGCAAGCTCCCACACATTCCCCTCATCCAGTTTGTTTTCCTAATGTTAACATGCCCAGTGGCCGTAATACATTTACCCAAACCAAAAATGAGCTGTTTAATTTTTAAAATTACATCTTTTTACACAAATTACTTTCCTGAACCCCATTTCCTTTTTCCTGAACACAGACTTTTAGCTTTAGTTTTTCTTTCATTACATGATGCTATTATAGGCCCTTATCAGCGCAAGATTTCACCTTGCCAGACTGACTCAAGATGAAATAAAATGTCCTATACTTAAGATTTTTGAGGTCCTATACATACGGTATTTTGAGTCAAGATCCAGTTAGATAGTATCACTACTGTCATGAGACTCATGCCATTCACATATCTGGTAAGCAAGACTTCTATGCTTTTATACAATTCAACAGGCCAACTCTTGGGGTAATATAAACCCCCCCTTGGGTTGCATGAAGTAACTTCTAAGGCATACCATCAATGAATTACAAATCCAATCAATTATCTGTATATCCAGTTATTCTTCATGCAAAGATATACCCTGTGTGAGGGAGTATCTGACCTACTGCATTCTCCACATTTTCTTTTTACTAGTCTAATATGTTTGCATGTTCTGCTTCCTTTTTTTATTTTATTATGTTATGTTAATCACCATACATTGCATCATTAGTTTTTGATGTACTGCTCCATGACTCATTGTTTGCGTATAACACCCAGTGCTCCGTGCAGCTCCATCACCAGGCTAACCCATCCCCCCACCTCCCTCCCCTCTAGAACCCTCAGTTTGTTTCTCAGAGTCCATAGTCTCTCATGGTTCGTCTCCCCCTCTGATGTCCCCCCCTTCATTTTTCCCTTCCTACTATCTTCTTTTTTTTAACATATAATGCATGTTCTGCTTCTACAGGTAAAGATTAAAGAAAAAAAATAGATTGTCTACACAATAAAAAGGAATGCATTCCCCCAATGACTCTGAAACACTTAGGATAAAAAGGAAATTTTCTAAATTTAACATCTACTGCCAACTCACTGAAGCAGTTAGTGACCATGTGTGAAAAATGGTGCTCATGGGTAATCCATAGAGAATTCCTGATGAATCACAAACTAAAATCACAACAAATAGCAAGGTGGTATTGGTAGTATTATTCCTCCAAGAAGAAAAAAGAATTCAATTTACCCTATTGAAATTAGTACTAGCCTTAATTTTAAGGCTTAGGGAACAAAATGGCACAAGATAGCAATTTACTATTAAAATCCCGATTAAAAAGGGTAATTTAGACATGTGGACCCAAAGATAGCTATACTCAGCTATATCATTGCCAGAAGATTTTTTTCTAAACACTTTACTTCTCCTCAAAAGATGTCAATAATTTCCAATTCTATTTATCTCTGGAAACCAGGTTGTGGAATTAGTTTTTAAATTGCAAAATAAAATCGACAATGCTTTCAGAAAGGCTGCAAACTCACAACCTTCCTATCATACTAATGAGTTCCTTAAAATGGGAAAGACACTTTTAAAAACTTTCAAAAAGCATCAATATATCAAAAACAAAACTCTTTAAACTTACCTCGTAGTAACTCCGAACTGCATTGCAAAATGCTTCATCAGCCACAATTTGGGTTTCTCCGTTGAGGAAGGCCTGGAACCGGTCTTTCAGTAACTGCAATTGTTGCTTGTTAAGCTGTAAGAAAAAGAGGGAATTAGCTGAAACATTAGTCAATCAGAGAAATATAACAATTCTTAAAAATTATTGCTGAAAGTTAACACCTAGAACTAGCTTTATGTTAAAGGGAGAAAAAAAAAAAAGCTAAAAAACTACTACTCGTACCATAGCTCAATTTTAAAACGTTTCCAATTCACTTCTCATACTCTGGAATCCTAATATTGCAATGCACTATAAATTTCTACACCAGATGGAGTTCCTGTGTTTACTACCCCAGTCTCTTTACAGAAGCAGGTAAAATCTAAAATTCAGATGAGAAATGAACTGTGGTGCAAAATTGCCAGTTGTCCTGAACAGAGAGAGCAGAGAGGACAAGTATCCCTGGCAATGGGTGAACAGGAAGGGAGAGCAGAGTACAGAGGAACCCCGATCAAGAATCCTCTGGAAAGAACATCTTTTGATGCCAAAAGTTTGAATTCCATGCACATACCTCAATGCTCGAGGTGAGACAGACAACTGATGAGACAAATCCTGAGAACAGACAGGCAATAGGCAGACAGGGAGTGCATGTGTAAGCGCACCAAGGGAAGAGCCGTATACCAGGGGAGGGGAGAGTTCAAGCCCACAACCAGATTTCCTCACCCTGGGTCTGACTGCCATCATTACTACTGAGGGTGGGTGGGACATGAACCATGACTTACCAACCATGTCCTCTGGTCCTCAGCGACAAGCAGGGTCAGCTACTTAATTTGTAGGGCTCAGTGCAATGTGAGTATGAGGAGCCCCTTGTTAAAAAATTACGAATTTCGAGATGGTAGACACAGAGCTTTACACCACGCATGGGCCCTTCTAAGCACGGAGCCCTGTGCAACTGTGACCCTGAAGTCAGCCCCGACCATGGGGCACAGACTTCACCAGAGGTGGGGCACCGGAGGTCAGGCACCAGTTGAAAATGCTCAACCGCTGAGAGAACACAGTCTTGCAGATAAAACCACACAATCCCAAGATACCATAAGGAACAGGAAAAGAATGATCTTTCCATTTCATTTGATCCTCATCCCACTATTGAAGGACTCAGTCCAGTTCTGGATTCTACAGAGAGATGGGAAGCATTTGGAAATATGCTGAGGCGAAAATGATGGAAGGATTAGGAGAGGAAGACAAACTGGTAGGATTTGGTTTCAAAATGAAGGCTGATGTGACCTCAGCTTAAATCTGTTCAAAAGGCTTATTTAAATGCCATTCAAATAGGAGACAAGTGCTTTCCAAAAAAAAGAAAGCCCCCCCCTTTTTAAATTTTTTTTATTCCCCCTTTTTTTTAGATCCAGGAATCTAATAAGACAGTTTGTAGAGAAACTGTTGCTGGTAGTAACAGACCGGTAGAGAACGGTCCTATTGCACCTAGTATAAGAAACCTCTTCCCCTGAGCAGGAATGGAAAAAGACCACTCTGTTTAAGGTTATGTCCTTCATTTTAGGGAAAGCTAAACCAAGCTCAAATGCAGAGCCATCACCATTATATCACACTTTCTGCTTCTGTCATATGGAGAGCGTCAAAGCAGGGACCTTTTGTGTGTATGCAATGGTAAGGCCAAGTAAGTCCACGACTTCAGCTCTCGAAGCACGGCTCAGAAAAGGACCAGATGGAAACAGGATGGCAGTTGCTAAGAGCAAGACAGCTGAGAGCACTTTAGCTGCCAAGCCCAGGAGCTGCTAGGAAGCGCTTCAACTTGAAAACCAAGTGTCCAGGTAACATAATGGACATGGAAAAATGTAGAAATAATGGACTGGAGGGGATCTTACTGAGCCTTTGCCCCATCTCCGTCATTTGATTAAAAAAAAACCCAAAAAAATAGTCTTCAAAACCTGAAAACCCAATTTTCTTTCATCAGATGCATTCTGTTCTCTAGTGTTTATTTCACCACTGTACCAAGGAGTTACTTTTTGGGGATTATGGCATGGAAAATTCATGAACACCAAGGAGATCTGAGCAAACGATCTTCTTGAAAACTCCAACAAGGTTGGCATAGTTCACAAACGTGCCAGAAGCACCTGGCTAAATATCAGACTTCAACGTTTATATGAACAACAATTACTGCAGTTACATTTAAAACCTAAAATGTCAGCCAATATTATAGTGATATATAAGAAGTCAATCAATAAGTACTTTTTAAGTAGAGAGGTCTGTATTTCCACAAAAGATTGGGAGGAAAAAACCTGAATTTTAAATCTAGCTGCAGGGATAGCCATTTAGAATGCAGAGCTCCCTTAATTCTATTTGCATTATCAAAATAAACCATATTATACATCAACAGAGCGACTAATGGAAAAGACCCAAGAATTAGATCCAAATGCACTCAGAAATGTACTAGAAAATACCATTATAGCACCTCAAGTCAGCAGTAAAAGATGGTCTATTCAATCAATGGTGTTAAAGTAACTGGGTAGCCAAGCAGAAAAGAAATTAAATTGTACCATCACACATACTGTTACATTAAAAGTTTTAATTCACTGGAACTGTAAAAAGATGAAACTGTAAAGGTACATGAAGAAAAAAATTCCTTTTAATGCTAGTATGTGAAAGACCTTTCTAACCATGATCCCAAATCCCCAAGTCATAAATTTAAATGTTAAAAATAAATTGTGCATGGCAAAAATACCATAGGCAAAATCATTAGAAAAAGACTAATGAGTAAAAATACATGTGTGTAACTTCCATCTTTAAGAGCTATTTCCAAACACGGATTCCAGAAACTATTAAGAATCTGACCAGTAAGTCAATATAAAAATGGACAAAATGGATATATTTAAGCTAGGATAGTGGGCCTAGCTTCATTCATAGTAAGTAAAATACAAATTAAATCTACATGACAGAGGAAGGATTCTGGGAAGATGGTGGAGTCGTGGAGTCGGAAGCACCAGAAATCTCTCTCCCCTACCTAGAGTACAACTGCATTGGCAGTTTCTGCCTGATGTAAATATTTTGGAATTCTGGAGTGGACTGAAGGCTTGCAACTTATAGGGGAAGGCTTGAATGTAAATTGCAGTTAATTTTGGCCAATTTTAGCTCCTAGCACAGTAGCAGCTAGTCATCCCCCACCCCCAAGCTCAGTGGCAGAGGAAAGAAGAAGCTAATAGCCTAAATCTTCATAAATAGAGGACTAATAAATGCTACATTCAAACAGTGGAAATACTATTAGCTCCGTAAAAAGAACAAGTTCCCTTACGTATGGATATAAAAACATCTTCAAAATCTCTGGGCGGAAGGAAGCTAGTTATAGAACAGTAGGTAAAAATAAGCCACCACTCCCATAGAAAAGGGGCAAAATTAGAACACGTATGTGAATTTGTTTCCATATGCAGATGGAAACTATGGAAGAAGGATGGCTGTGGGCACTGGACAGATGGAAAATAAGTGAAAGATTTTTCAGCCTATACGGTTATATTCATTTTAGAATTTTAAATCACAGGATTCTTCCCTAAGATTTTAATTTAGATTTAAAATAAGCTATGATGGCAACTTTGCAAATCTTTTATCTCAACAATTATGACGCATTGCATATAGTTTAGATCTGATCATCCTGCAGGGAGACTGGACAACAGATGAACTGACTTTTCAATTCTCCTTTCAAGTAGAAGATTTGAACTTGACAGTCCCACTTTTTTTTTTTTTTTAACATTTAACCTTTCAAGTTTGAGCATTTCTTTGATACTTAAACCAAAGACAGAACAGAACCATAGTAGTAATCCTATTCAATATTCTGATCAACGCATTAATCTTTACAAAATCCCTATGAAGTCCTCTTTCAGCCTCCCTTTGAGCCTATTAAAACACACACCTTCATTACCTCACAATAAAGCCTATGCTCATTTTCAAGAACTGAAACCTGTTTCCCACAATCCTAGTTCTAACACTAAGACAAGCCAGAATAAACGTTACTTTCCTTCTTCCACAAAGCAGTTCAGAAACTGGAAGACAAGTGCTGGCTTGTTTGTGAGTCTTCTCCTTTCCAGGATTAACTCTGCCAGTTCCCCAACATCCTAAGGGTACTCTCCAATTTGTTCACAAATTAAGCATTCAACTGTTAAATAAAACTTAGTTACATCTAAGTACAAAAAAGCACATTGAAAGCTGTAACATACAAGTGAAACTCATTACAATAGTAATGTGCTTCCTAAAATGTGCAGGGTAGACTGGTCCTGATTCTCCTAAGATAGTGTGGCCAACACAGACAAGTGGGAGGGCTGCTTCCCACATTCTAAGCACTATTAATTCACACCAAAAACAAATTAACTCTTCTTGGCAGTCACATCAACTGACTCACATGGTCCTTATCAACAAAAATTTCTAAAACATTCTTACATATGTTTCATTAAGCCACATTTCGTCTTGCTAGATGTGGTCTATTGTTCCATTTGATTAATATTTTGTTAGAATTCTAATTCCTTCACCTAATGACAGGTCATTATAAGAAACCTTTAGTTCAGATTAAGAAACAGGAAACCTGTTATTGCATGGGTTCGTCCAGTTTGACACCATTAACATTCTTTGGGGCAGTTGACTTTACCATGATTTATCCTGTATTTTCTTTTTTCCCACATACTGTCTCCACACTAGTATGTTTACCAATGAATGCGTAACATTTTTCAAATACAGAGAAAGTTTTAACGTGAAAGTTATCCAATGGGAATTTTTAGAGAGCTTTTTATATGCAACTAAACTGCAGAAACTTAACTAGAACATAAATATCCTTGCAAATATCTAAATACAGCCAAGAGATTAGCCTTATAAACAAAACACTTCAAATACTGACAGTGAAAGCTAAGTTTTAAGATTCTTGGCTGGCAGGGATAATTTATCCATAATAAACAGGAAAAACAATTTTCAAAGTTCAGAGATGTTTTATGTTTCTTAGGTGGGTTTTTTTTTTTTTTCCATGTTCAATTTAGATTCTAACCTTTTCATTTTAAGTCACGATCAACTGAAGACTTAGGCCGGTATCTTGACTAGCAGGAGAC